TCAGAAGAAAAGTGAAAAAGAAAGTGAAAGTCACTCAGTCATGTCTGACTCTTTGCGACCACATGGAACTATATCCATGGAATTCTCCAGGCCAGAATACTGGAGTGGGTAGCCTTTCCCTTCTCCAGGGTATCTTCCCAACCCAGGGGTCTACCCCTGGTCTCCCCCATTGTGGGTGGATTCTTTACCAGCTGAACCACTAGGAAAGCCAAGAATACTGGAGTGGGTAGCCTATCCCTTCTCCAGTGGATCTTCCCAACTCAGGAATCACACCGGGATCTCCTGCATTGCAGGCAGATTCTTAAAAAGCTGAGCTACCAGTGAAGCCATATCTCAAAAGAAAGCCTCAACCATAAACACTTCAGCATTTGTATTCACTTTGAAGAGCCAACCTGAACCCTGAAAAGCAGCCTCTCATTTTATTTCTGGCCTTCTCTGTCTCCATGCTCCATGAGCTGGCCCCTCCTCCCTGGCAAGCAGGCCCAGCCTACACGACACTCCCTGCTGGTGCGCACCCAGGGCTGGGACTACTTTCTGTCCCCAAAGCTCCGAAACATCTTTTCTGACAGAGCTAAGCCCTTCTAGGCCTGGATTCAACAGTCTTCTGAAATGCAATATTCAGGGCTTGCCCAGTGCTAATACATTGTTCCTTCATTATTTCCAAAGAACAAGGGCAATATATTTATAATAAAAACCTTGGCCTAACAGAGCTCTTAAAACTTTGGGATGGCATACCTGTCTAACCTTATCTTCCACTGTCTAGAGAAAGTACCCCCTGCTCTTGTCAAACCAGGGTACTACATCCTGTCCCTAGAATACAACCAAGACTTGCCCATTTTTAGGCTCTAGCTGCCGAGTGGACGTGTGATTCGTGGGTCACATCTCAGACTGTGGCCTCACCCTAGTATTGCGTTCTTCCTATGCTACAAATGTCTCATCTCCACAAGTAGACTGTGAGCTGCATGAAGGAAGGATGCGGTCATCTCTCTTTTCCTTTGTTTTGGCTGTGCTGCATCTTTGCTGTGGCAGGTGGGATTTCTATAGTTCTGCCACCCAGGGGCTTTCCCAGTTGCAGAGCATGGGCTCTTGAGCTCATAGCCTCAGTAGTTGGGCTTGGTTGCCCTGCGGCACATGGGACCTTAGTTCCCCAACCAGGGATCGAACCCGAGTCCCCTGCAATGGAAGCACGGAATCTTAATCACTAAACTGCCATGTCTATAGCCACACCATCCTGAATGCACCCAATCTCGTCTTCTGTGTCTTTAGATTCCTTATAGCGTTTATAAAGCACCCAAGGGGGTGCTCGTATTTTCGTTGTTTTTATTGGCAGAGTTGCATATCAGATTACGAATGGTCACAAAATCAAGACTGGACCCACAGATGTCCTGCAAATAGTGTCTGCCTGTACAGAGCACATTACTCAGGCTTGCCCAAGAATAACAACCAGAACCAATACTCAGTGAGTGCTTCTTACACCAGCACTCTTGTGAGTGCTTTACCTAAACGTATGCAACAACAGAGGAGCTGCTCAAACTGGTAAATAGCACAACTCTGACTTGAACCCAGGCAGTCTGGTTCAAGAATCAGAACATAAGTCTGACACTATGCTGTCTCTCTGCATATAGTCAAAGGGACTTAGAGTGAACTGGGAATACTCAGGAACCAGAAAAAGAGCTACCAAAACATCCACTTGGGCTGTTCATGTGTAATGCTTATCTGAGCAAGTATGTGGTGAAGACAGAATCATTTCAGTGACTATATACAGGTTCTATGATTTCTTGTGGCTTCAGGCTGTTGTTTTTAAAGTGCAATTTAAAATACATTCACAAAGTGATTTTTTCCAGACAAAAACTGAGTCACTTTTTTTTCTCTTATTAGATATCTATTTATATATCTAATCAGAAAAGTGAAAGTGAAGTTGCTCAGTCATGTCCAATTCTTTGTGACCCCATGGCATGTAGCCTACCACACTCCTCTGTCTATGGGATTTTCCAGGCAAGAGTATTGGAGTGGGTTGCCATTTCCTTCTCCAGAGAATCTTCCCAATCCAGGGGTTGAACCTGGATCTCCCGCATTGTAGGCAGATGCTTTACCATCTGAGCCACCAGGGAAGTCTAATCAGAAATTGTCCTTAAATCTGATGATTCTATCACAGAGATAAATTATTGACAATCTGTCATGATACCACCACCTTCATCTGGTTAGAATATGATAAATCACTAACACCATTGGCAAAAGTAGAAACCTCTTGACTTCATTGCTACTAGAGATGAAAATGTTAGTTGTCATGTACATACCACCATATATAAAATAGATAACCAACAAAGACCTACTGTATAGACTAGGGGATTATACTCAGATGTTAAAGAATCTGCCTGCAATGTGGGAGACCCAGGTTCGATCCCTGGGTTGGGCAGATCCCCTGGAGAAGGAAATGGCAACCAACTCCAGTATTATTGCCTGAAAATCCCATGGACAAAGGAGCTTGATGGGCTATAGTGCATAGGGCTCCAAAGAGTTGGACACGACTGAGCAACTAACACACACATAAGGGAAAATAGTCTGGAAAAGATCCTGAATAACTGTGCTATATATCTGAAACTACCATGACATTGTAAATCAACTATATTTTAATTAAAAGAATGTTAATTGAGGCAGAAACTATGGTGCAGAGCAAATACTACATGCATCAAATATAAACACATACCACTGTATAGATCCTAGACTGGGCATAGGCCCAATCTGTTAATAAAATTAAGTTTTAATTGTTTTTGATATTTCCATTGTATAAAGTCAATAGTGATGAGAAACTGCAGATAACCAAAAACACTTTGGCACTGAGGCTGCACAAGATCTGGAAGGGAATCTAGGAAAATGACAACAGGGAAATATTAGCTGCCCTTTGCTTTCTTATCACTTTCATTTTTGTCATAAATAAACAAAGAAAACTCACATTGTTTCTGCCTCTGTAAACAGTGGTACTCAGAGAATCAATTCAAATCTTTTTGAATAGCAAGTTGTTAATCTTCAGAACTGCTGGGGTGTTTCCTATGAAGTAGCCCGGGCCCTCTCCCTGGCCCTGCCCTGGATGCCATTCCTAGGTTCTGTATTCAATTCAATTTGCCACATTAAACTATGTGTGGCATTACTGAGAGACATAGACAGAGTGAGCAGCTTTGTGAACAGCACAAAGGTACCTGTGGTTAATGCTTGGGACCCTGTCAACTTAAGAAAACACCTAGGTGATAGGCAGTGCACAAAAATCAAGTCTGCTTGGAACTCCTGGTAAGGAGCACTGCTGGCTGTACACCTTTCATCAAGAAAGGCCATGCCAAGCAACTATCCTCCAATTAAAAACAGGAAAAAAAAAAAGAGAAAAAAAGAGGCTATGCCATCCCCTACAATGGACAAGAAGGTGCAAACACAGAGTGGGTGAGGATGACGTCTGACAACTGTCCAGTCACATTAGCCAAATTAACCTCAAAAATCAATGAAATGACAGCTGTCACAGACAGATCCCTCTCTTCCTTACAGCTTGGGGTAACATAGGCCAGGCAGCTGATTTCATTTGTTTTGATTTTAATTCAGTAATTAATTTGGAGGGAGGGCAAATTGAGGAAATAATTTATTTTCCTTGCTAATACAGAACCTTGAGGTCTTGAGGGTTACCACAGAGATGAATAATTCAGTTTCCTTTGAGTAAAAAGTTCTCTATTTCTAAAGATGAGTGAATTAAAAAAAAAAGTGTGTAGTCAGTGTGTGGAAATCTCAAGCTTCCCCAAGATGAGATCAATATGAAGCATCTGTACACTTACAAAGTGGTATATGTTACAATGAATGATTAACAGTAAAACAGACATAAGGATGCTATGAGGGAAATTTCTATTAAGTCTTTTAGTAGTTATTTGTGTGTGAAGGTGGTTTTGCATTTTATGACATTGTATTTTCTAATTTCACTAAGGGAAAGCTAACCATATATGTGGATTTTATTTTTTTGCTTCAGCCTCCAAATGCTTTAGGGCTAGTCCAGGCCTGGTTCAGTAGCAAGCAACTGTCTCAGAGGCTTCCTGCGTGTCTAAATAGCTTCTCTCCTGTTTATTTTGCACTGTTTAATCCTGTAAGCAAGCTGTCTCAAGGCCCTTCCAAGATAAGCAGGAGGATTTAAATCTTAATAAATTGAAATTTGAATAACAGAGGCAATCTAGGTTCAGGGGTCTTGAATGATTAGGAGAAACATCTCTATTTTCCATTCCCACGTTATGCATGCACTGTCCATGTTGCCCTGTGATCAGCATCAGTAATGATTAAAAAAGCAACAACAGCAAGAAGACTATTAGATTTAAATAGCACTTTTCAGCTTATAAGGACATTTATTTATAGTTTTTATTTCTATTCTTGGAATAGTTCTAAAAGACAGGAAGAATGTCACTTTATGGATGAAGAAACAGAGTCACTAAAAGATGAAGACGTGCCTAAAACAACAGGAACAAGTGGCGGTCCTGGGACCAGAACTCACTTCTTCCCAAAAACCTTGCCACAGTTTGACTAGATGTGTCAACATCTGTGTGCCAGCAAAAAGATTTTCAACTGCATTCCCATTAAACTTTTCGGAAACACCTTCTTATAAAGCTTATAACAGAGACATTATGGAAGTCTGGAGTCATTTCTTTTTTGAAAGAAGATAACCAGAGAGATATCAGTGCTGGGATTGGAAGTGACAAATGAGCCACACTCAAACACTTCTCTCTAGCCTCCCATTATTTTGATGGGAGGCATTTTATATGTGTGTGTCTGTGTTTGTGTATACACACATATATCTATATATAAAATTTCCTTCATTATAATGAACACCCCAATGCTTATTTCATCCTGTTGCTTCTCATCACTCAAAATGCCAAGGGTTGAATTTTTAGGCATTGTAGAAGTAAAAAATAAAAGTCACAAAGATACCCTCGCCCTGAACATTAATAGAAACAACAACAACAATTAAAAAGGCTTACCTTGCAGCCTTCACATGTAATGACACCGTAATGGATTCCTGATGATTTGTCTCCACAGATCTTGCATGGAATAATTTCAATTTGAGCTGCAACAGAAGCACGCAACCAGTTAATTACATTTTCTTTTAAACACCTTATAAAAGCGTTCCCTGATCAGCATTTGTATCGTGAAAACTAATAACCTGCTAAACATTATACTGCATTAACTATTCATTGCTGAACTGTGAGGGTCCCCCTAGAGCCCTGGACTAAATTATGGCTGCTCGTTATATAATAGCTTTCGGGTTATTAAAATGGGTCATTTGAGAAGGTGTTTAAGAACCCACAAGAAGACTGGAATCAGCATTTCAAAGCCTTCAAGAACTGGAGAGTTCGCAGTTTAGGCCTCAGAGCAAAGCAGATACTAAAATGTTTCCTCCGATCTCATTTTCCATCATTATTTTTAAAAGGTCATAAATCTGTGTTGGCTAGAGCATTGTAGCTTGGCGGGTGAAGAAAAATAGACTCCAAAAAGTTAAGACTACTTAGGAAAATGATTCAATTTAAGATATTAATAAGTTATATATGTTGGTAAGAATTCCTTACTCATCTTTTTTTAATTAATGGACTTGCCATGTGTTAAAAATTAGTCCACTTGTGTATGATCAAAACCTTTCAACCATAACATTAATATCCTATCAGAATTTAATAGTGATGAATCTGGACAAATGGAATATATAGCTTCTGAGTTTTTTATGCTGAAAATTGATTTTCTGGTACAGCATGCATGTGTTTCTATCTAACTGATTACTTAAGATGTCTCATACTGGAAGAATAACCAAACAATTAATATAGATTACACCAAAGTTCCCAAATATGATAAAGCACATTTCTAAGCAAACATATTTTATCTTGAGCAGAGCTGGAAAGAGCATAATTAAGGATTAAAAAATAACCTAAGAAATAGAATAATTAGGCAAAACAAAGTACTTGGACCACCTCTTAAATATAATTTATCTGTGAAATAAAGAGTCAACACTAGGCTAAATATACAGGATGGTAACAGTCACCAGTTTACCTGAAACACGCCATTACGCTAAATTTATTTCCACGGCTTTCACTATTGGATATGTTAGATTATCTACTAAGTCACACACATAAACACAAATTGCAAGTGCCCAAGTATGTTTCATTTTCATAAAGACCCTATCTAGTGCCATGCCTCACACAAAGCAATGACTGGTCTATGGAATGTATTAATATTGCATGATGTAACTAACACACGTACACAGAGTCCAAGGTCATATTGAGCCCAATTTCTTCCAATGTTGTATCACACCATAGCCAGGGATAATTTCCACAACCACTTACCCTAGATCTGATGTAATGTTATATTTGATACTTTGAAAGAGCACACATTACTAGACTTAACCTCATTATACATGATGTGTTCCTGTTAACTTCCTTTCAAGGGGACTACAAGTACTGCAGGGTCTTTTAGTGAGTCCTTTTCCTATCAACCACTTTTAGTGTTGACATACTGAGTTTCATTGTCCAGAGTTAGAGACTGTTCAAAATCTCACATCCAATAAACGTGCCATAATCCCCAAACCTTCTAATACCCCAGTAATGGTGTCTTTGTACACTAATAACGTCTATTTGGAATTATGCAGCTTAATGTGTTATAAGATCAACTCAACAAAAAGATCATCTTTAAGTTGGCCTCCTCACCTTGGAGACTAGCTTTATTTCTTCAAAGAGAATTCTTTGTTAAATCTAAACTCTCGTAATGTTACACAATTATGGCTCCTCCAATATTTTTACTATATGGTAGAGGCAAAGTTTTATGCCACAGATCATTGGCAGCTCTAGAGAGAGATAGTTTTGCCCAGTGTTTTTTAGAGACAAAAGCCAAGTGGTAGTAGAAAAAGCCTGAAAGGTGGTATCAACTGAAAGTTAATGCCTGGATTCTCCTATGTGAATGAACTAGTCTGTAATGAGAACCAGCCTCCCCCATTCCAAACCCTCAGGAAGAGAATAAATAGACAACACAAAGTACTTGAAAGTGTTCATCATTCCGTCATGTCTGACTCTTTGCAACCTCATGGACTGTCACCTACCAGGCTCCTCTGACAATGGTATTTCCCAGGCAAGAATATTGGAGTGGGTTGCTATTTCTCCCTCCAGGGGATGGGATCGAACCTGGGTCTCCTGCATTGCAAGCAAATTATTTACCATCAGAGCCACCAGGGAAGCCCCATCTATTAAATTCAACTGATATAAGAAATAAGGAAGACAGACACTGAACTGCTTCTGCTTATACCTCACCTCAAACTGTTATTAAGAAAAATTAGACAAATCTTGTTAGTCTATATAGTTTAAGTCAGCATCAAAGTGAAAAGCAATACTAGCACTAAACTCAGGCCTTTCAAGAGTTATTTTCTTTTTTAAAATAACTGTTTATTTATCTATCTTTGACTGCACTGGGTCTTCATGGCTTTGTGCTGGCTTTCTCTAGCAATGGGTCTTCATTGTTGTGAGCTGCATTGTGGTGAGAGGGGGCTGTTTTTCATTTTGGCCTGTGGGCTTTCCATTGTGATGGCTTCTTTTGTTGTGGAGCATGGGCTTCAGTAGTTGCAGCACATGGGCTCAGGAGTTGTGGTGCATGGGCTTAGCTGCCTGGAGTCATGTGGGATCTTCCCGGGCCAGGGATTGAACCCATATCCCTTGCATTGGCAAGGGAATTCTTAACCATTGACCACCAAGGAAGCCTAAGGGTTATTTTTATTTCATCTTAGGAATGGGGAGATCAAGCATACCTATTTAGTCCTTTATAAGATAGGAAAAGTACCAGGCAGGCCAGATAGGGAACACTGGGTAGCACTATAAGTATCTGGATCAAATGGAAAATGGTGTACAGTTGTTCACTGCCTGGACTGCTAGTGGATGATCTAAGAGAAGTGCCATGATGATGATTAAGGCAGTGACCAAAATGCCTACTAATGGCTCCTGGAATCTTGAAAGTGGTCTGGAAGCCTGGCAGCGAAGTGTCTGCTCATGATGGGGGTGCCCCTGGGATTGACACCCCAACCCAGAACTTATACCCTTGGAATGGCTCTCAACCAGGCTGGGAAGAGGTTGGGAGTGGGGGTGGGAAAGTCACTGTGGTATAAATCCAGAGTTCGGTGCTATTACCACAAAGGACCCTTAGTGTAAGTCAGGCTCCCAAACTCTTGCTCTTCAGTCTTGCTGTAGCTCTCAGGGTCTTTCAGATCTGGAGGGCACTCTAGCTGAGACATATCTTACAAGACTTCATGGAAGCCAAGACGCTTCCTATGAATGGACTCACGGTAGACTGACCTGTACTGTCAAGTGAGGGGCGAACTGCCTAGACCTTTGTTCCCTGCACTGTGTTTGTGCTTGGCTCCAGTGGGCAGTGTTGGCCAAAGATTCCAGATTAGAACAAGCTTCCCTAGGAATCTCGTGATGAGGTGATGGGAGGGTTCGCCAAAGCCAGGTTCTGATATTTTAATTCATCGGGTTAAACTATTCTTCTAGCCTACGTCTTTGGGTGGCTCTCGTAGCTCAGAAGACAATTTCAACTGCAAGTGCTCTTTAGGAAATGACTAAAATCCACTTGCCCCAAAAAGCAAATTCTCTGAAAGTGATCTGATCACGTGTTGATCTTTCCAGAAAGCAAACATTTGCAGATCAGAGCAGGGCACTTACTCAATCTTCCATTCAATCCAACAATGCACAAAAAAAACCACCTCCTTCTACCTTTTTTAGTCAAGGTACAGAATTCAGACGTATCAAAGGGGAAAAAAATAGTCAATGCCTCACAAATTTTTCAAAAGGAAAGCAGTTCAGCTTCACGAATTGGCATTTTCAGACCAATAAGAGGGAACAGGACAAAAATCTCCCTGCCCTTCGCTTTCCATCCCTCGGGCTTTTCCATTTTCTAACAGGCAGTGTTGCATCTTTTCAAAATAATCTTCTTGTAACAAAAATTATGAGTCTTGGCCCATATATATACTGCACATATTAACTCAGCCAGTATTTCAAAGGATGAAATCTGTCAGACACCACTACTGTCACAAGGATATTGATTAAATTAGTCCACATCCATATTCATTGCAGCAAAGAGAGTTTATTGTGTAGCGTGGAATAGCTGAAGCAAGACGCACACATATAATCATGAATTGGCTTAACAATGAACAATCTTGCTATGAAAAATTCTAATTTGCCCACATTTTCAGCTCTATTGCCTAAATAATTTGCTCTTTCATGCACCCTAAATAATTCAAGCAGCTCTCCACACCTGCACAGGCAAATTTCTGCAGTTTTCAAGGAGCTAACAACAAGTGGCAATGGGGCGTCAGGAAATTCTGGAATGCAGGTGTGCTAATTAGCCAAATGGTCCTTAGGCTGGGCTGTCATTTAGCACTGCACCTCTGAAAAAACTTTGCTTTCTACTTTTCATTATAGAAGATAACAAGACACTGGTGTTCTCAACACCAGACTTGTTTCTCAGACTTATTTCTGGTGTTATCTTGGTCCAGAGAAAAATGCCCATTCTCCCCAAGAATTAAAAAATACAAAAAATTTAAAAAAAATGTATTGCACAAAAGAGTTGTATGCATCACTTCAATATGTGGGTGAAGAGTGATCTCTCAACAATAATCTAAATGGATAGATAGTAATCAATAATATCTACAAATATTCAGGCTTATAACACATCAGGCATTATCTAATCTGCTCTTCTAACAACCCTACAATGTAGGTGGTATCATTGTGATCATCATCTGTATTTTTTTAGATGACAAAACTGAAGCTCAGATAGGCTAGATAACTTGCCCAACATCAGAGAGCTAGGAAGAGGTGAGGCTGGAAGGTGGACACATTTTGTCTTTTTCTCTAACTCAAAGTCTTGCACCCTCTTGGTCCTGCCCCTTCCTCATACTGCACAGTCAAGTTGAATGTCTCCAATACCTTCAGACATCAGGACAAACTGCTCCTGGTAAGAAACCATTAACTGAGGATCAAAAGACATTCCCTAGGTAATCTAGTTAAACTTAATACTACTGAGAACTGATGTCAAGATGTC